TCACGGAGGCTTGCCAAGTCGAGAGTAATGCCGCCTTCTGGGTCCACCCCAGGGGGACAATCCCCCGCGTAAAATTCGTCGAAGGTGACCAAAGGATTTTCTTGGCGACGGCTTGGAACGGGGAAGATGTCCTACATTTATAATCATAACATGAGTGGTAAGACCAATAGCATTAGGGATAGTGAAGAGACTTGCGTAGTTTTCGCTAAAGATAAGGGGTTCGCCGGGAAGTGCTCGATTTAGGACCAATGTGGCTCGCATGCGGTTCTCGTGATTTGGGCGATAAAATTTCACCTGTATCACAACACGCACTTTTCCCGCTGACCCTCTTTGCCAAAGTTGAGAATCTCGATGTAGTTGCTCCATGGATTCAGCCCATCCCGATTCGAGTACAACAGAGGGGTATTTCGCCTTCTGTTTCCAATCCGGGCCAACCCCCGGTACGAAAGTCAGATCAGCCTCTTTGACTGACCCCGTATAATCACCAACAAAATTATTATATTCTTATAAACCCAGATTAGCAATATTTCAAGGTGAATGTGTTGTTGATAACGAACCGGGGGAAGATGTTAAGAGTATGGTTTCTGGCCAAACCTCTGGAAGAATTCCTCGCATCGCAGCTACCACGATCATTTTGTTTATCCACCCTCCAGCGCACTCGTGTAATTGTGATGGCATCACAACCTTCAATATCCCGTCAGCTGCAAACCAATGAATCCTTTGGGAATATGTTAGCAATGCCCAATAAGGTGGAGAGTTATAAAGTAATGGGATTACCGAAACGCATACCGCTCCAGGTAATTGGTGCGGTGTCGTAAGCCCTTATGAATATCGGCAAACATGTCGTGGTCGACATTATCAAAGGTCAACATGTCCGGAACACGGGTTTTAATCGCCTGCACTATCTTATTGAATATTTTGTCCGACATAATTGCACGACCGAATGTGACAAGAGGAGAGAGCGAGAGCGAGAGCAAGAGCACTTGATGTAGGTTGTAGATGTGCTGGGGGACGGTTGGGTTGGAACAAGAGCGTAAGGGCAGTCACTAAGGGCCTGTTTGGGAACGACGGTTCCGTTCCGATCCGCCATAATACAAATGACCATTTCCTTCCGTTCTGAAGGTGCCAAGACAACCTTTCCTCTAGCTAAAATCATCTGTGAACGGAACGGTCCACCCCCTACCGTTCTTGCTAAACAGGCTTTAATTATGTTGATCACTCAGCACTAGCGTGATTTCCAGTTTAACCAGATTATGTGGCACTGACAGACCATCGGTAAGGGATGATGTAACACTGTTTTGTGGTGTACTCGAGTATTTTACGAGATGTTGAGGTTGTTAGGCCAGCTCGGAACACTGGCTTCTGCTCATTTCCGACTGATGAATAAGCGGTGGCTGGTACCGCATCACAATCTCTTCTTCCCGGTCTCTACGTCTTGCCAACAGCTGACACTGCGATCCAAAATAGTTTATGTGATGAGCGGAGCGCGGGGTACTAGCGAGAACTCCCGGATAGCTTGTGAATCTAGCTGGGCATCGAAAAAGGGGTATAACTGTGATCCGAAGCCCTCGATAATCCAGTGTAGTTCTCCCGGCTCACCGGAGGCCTCTCCCAACGAGAATACCTTAACCTCGAAAACAAAAACAAAATGTCAGACCCAAGGGACTTCATCTACATTGACAATGCTAGAGTTCGGAGACTGGCGACCCGAGGATATCAGAATCCAAGCCTCTAAGGTCTCAAACATACCACTCCTCCAGCGCCTACCACTGCCGCTCACTTCCCCACTCCCTACCCACCCCCCAACAACGGCAGCAACACCACCCCCGCCAATTCCCAACCTCTTGAGCAGTCATGACTATAGGGGTGGCTACCATCCTAGCGAGTCTGCCCAAGGTCAATTCCCCGTCCCACCCAAGCCAGTTTACACGGCAGCGCATCTCTACCTCATCGACACCTTCGTCTACTTTTCCCATAACCTCGTCTCAATCCCATCGAGCCCATGGATAAACACGCTCCACCGGAACGGCGTCCAAGTCCTCGGCACGTCCATCATGGAGCACCATGTCGGGTCCATCGCTCTCTCCCGACTGCTGGATAAAGGCTCCGAGGGGGAATGCATATTCGCGACGCAATTAGCACTGATTGCACAAACCTACGGATTCGACGGATGACTAATGAACATTGAGGCATCGCTTCCCGGAGAAGGTTTCAGGCTGGGCGAGTTGCAGGCGTTCCTAAAAGAGCTCAGAAGCGCGGTGGTGGAATTGGTTCCTGGCGGGCAGGTGATATGGTATGATGCGCTGATAGTGCCCGACCAAGTGCACTGGCAGAGCGGGCTTACTTTACTCAATGCGCCGTTATTCAGGGTCACTGACAGGCTATTCACGAATTATAGGTGGCGGGAGCCGTAGTTAGAGACTGCGAGTGTCATGGCCGACTCTATGAATCGGGTGCCCGATATATGCACTAGGATAGACTGCTTCGGTCGGGGATCGCTGGGTGGTAGGGGCTTCGGGGTGGTGAGGCGCTCTCTGCTATTCGGAAGGCGGGAACATCAGCGGCACTCTTCGCACCCGGATGAACCTACAAGCGCTTTAATGGTAGGTAAGCATTTCGAAAACGTAGGTCGGGGATTTTTGGTCGGCGGTGGGGGCGACATCGTGGGTAGCCCTGTGAAGCCAGTTTCGTACTTTGTCTCTGGGAAAGCATGAGGTGGTTCGGGGTTCTTCTTCACGAATTTCAATGGAGGATTCGGAAAGGGGTGGTGGGTTAATGGTGTTGTCTGTTCTACCCCCTACGCGCGCACTCCCCAACCTCATACCGTGCTGATATAAATATTTTTTGTGTGGCAGAGGGTCCCGAATACGCCATAGGTGCTCATAGGTGCGCAGTCAATCCTCTAATCCAAGAGCCCCTAGATCACGGATAGGTTGAAGTGGTCGTTTACCGACGAAACTGCTTTGGCGACACGGGTCTGAATATTTCTACAGTCGCTGCTACCCCTACCGTAAACCCGTGGATCCTGGGAGATCACCACATTAGGCACTCCTCCCTCCCCTATGCTTCTTCCTGCACCGCCCAAACACTAACATCTCGTTCGGCCAACTTGCCCGACTTTCCAGGTCAAAAATCGGCTCTCCGAAGGAAGTGATCTCGACCCAGACCCAGTCGCCAATGAACTCGATTCCCCACTGCGGGAACAGGCTTTCGGGCACGGAGTTACGGAATCTGGGGTTGTTGGTTATCTGGATCCTGGCTAGAATCCCTCAATCCTGGAGGCGACGCCGTGGCGTATGAGGGTCCGGGAGAGTGGTATACAGTGGAGCTGATGAATGTTGAATCTGTTTAGGGTGGTGTAAGTTTCTCCTGGTCTAGGAGAACGACCCCAGCGACGCACGAGCCCACTGTGCAAGCGAGCGGAGTACTTCTTTCTCCTCCTCTCCCCCACTACTTCCACGCAGCCAACTAACCACTCTAACAAGTCTTCCTATCATGGCTCCACCTCTGCACGTACCTCTGCACCGTCAGCATTGCAGTCCTGATTTCCTCCCGCATCAAGCGTGAGCCAAGCGAGCTCGAAGAAAAACCCTCCCTTCGGTTGGGGATATGCTTTTAGGTGCTGAGTGTTGCGTGTTTGTTTGCGGGGTTGCGGAATTATGTCTAGGGTTTTCACGAACACTTCGGCCGACTGGCTGCATAAGGTGTAAAGTAGCGATATATTCTGTATACTTGGAGAGGGTTTAGGGTTGATATAGGACAAGTGTTGAGGGTTGGTGCTTTGCGCTGAGGCTCTGTAAGCCAGAAATAGCTTGCATGATATCACACCATAATAAATTTTAACGGAGTTCTTAGCTGTTGCATGAGGCTAGCTTAGCGGGAAGTATCATTGAGTACGAAATTACTGGAGGTATGATATCCCATGGATGGATGAGACATGCAGATTCACACACTCCCTACTCCGCGTGTGGCCCCAGTGACTTTGCCTCACAAAAATCGTGAAATATCAGGCACTTTTTTTCGTGGCTGGTTGCCACAACCTTGGCACGAGTAGTTGCGTTTTGGATTCGATGAATGAACAGTGGGTGCCGGTGATCAAGCTGTTCCTACAGCAACGAAGAATAGGGCCAGGGGGAGTCGATTTGAGTGTTGCGAGTCATGATTTGTGATGGGTTATTAGTTTTCCCAGGGGTTGCACAAAACAGTCCAACGTACCGGTTAATACTGTGCTGTGCTGTTGCATTGTCTAAGAGCCGAGGATGCACTGTGGACCGTGATATCCTAATCACCAAATATCACTCGTATGTATACTTTTCATAAGATTGTGGCTACCGGGCCAACACACATATAGAAAGGGTAAGGCACGGAAAGGAAACTCAGTCCCACTGGACACCAAACACAGTTTTGCTCGAATAAGTTGCGAAAAGCCCTACCAAGAAGAAGGCGAAGACCACCCAGTGCAAAGATCCGACGATGATAGTGAGGACAGCGATGGCGATGTAGACGAAAAGAAAGTGGGGAATCGAGAGGATGATAAAATTTCAACCGTCGAGGACAATGACATTGATAGTGGTTATGCTCTTGGAAGTGACAAGAGTAAATTTTCCGGGTTCAAATTTCTCGGCAGTTCGGGGGGGGGGGTAAATGCTACGCATAAAATGAGGGCTTGTCAATGATTCAAGCTCCGACGCGCAATCTGGGAAAAGACCTAGACGATGAGGTGTGGTAAGGTTGCTGCCTCATGCTTGTATGCGCAACCCAACCTATCCGCGGGCAATATGCGATGGTAGATTCAAAGGATTAATGGAATACTATTCTGTCACGGTGGGTTCACCACGGTCACATGAGTCTGACAGCAAGTGTAACACAACAGTCTCCAATCACCTTATTTCGATTCATTCCGAAAACAATAAAAAAAAAAGGAAACCTGCCCCCACCTCTAACTTATCCCCCCCTCTTGTGAGTCCATGCAGTCTGTAGCGCATTAGCATAACCAATTGAGATGGATGATAATCAATGTATCTACTTACCTTAGGACCCTCCACAATCCTTTCCACCGCTCCTTACGAGTAACGCAAATTTTTCCAATCCGTCCTCGAGCGCCTTCCGTTGTTTGCCGTTAGGGGCAGTCATCACGAACGCTTCTCTTCCCAGGGCTTGCGTTAAGATAATTTCGCTGAGCAGGTTGGCATGGACGGTGCGAAGATTTTTATTGGTGGTCTCGATTTTCTTGTCAATATTCGTGATTTTCTCGTTGGTTTTGTCTATCCGCTCGTTGGTATGGCGAGCATCGGCCCTGATCAAAAGATCCATGGTAAACAAGAAACCACCGGAGATGATTGTAGTAACGGGTCCTCCGAATTCTCGAGCGAGTTCTTTCTCCGTGAACTTTTCAACAGGTTGTCACGTAAGGATTGAGTGGGGGGGGGGCAGTACTTACGACGAAGGCTGGAAGACATGTTCGGTGTTGCAGAGTCGCTTGTGTGGCTGGAGGAGATTTCTGTGGAAAGTAGAGGTGTTGGAGGGAATACTTGTGGAGGACAAGTCCTGCGTGTCGTATAGTCATGCCAAGGTTGTGACTGGGCGTTACAACCCCCACTTGCGGTTCCAAAGGAGTACGCCAGCTACAATCTCACTCCCGACAACCGCTAACCTACCCGAGACAAATAAAGTAAGGAATGCGAACAAACGGTTACCACTAGGAGAGTCAACTCCAAACACATACAACAATCTAGGTTTATTGGAGTTTTGATGGCAATGTACTGCGTTCGGTATATAATGTGCCTGTTCAGATTTCATGCGGCAGTTTGCTTCACCTTCTTGTGGTTTCCTGGTGTAGTTGGTTATAACTTCACACCAGGAAACCGCCCAACCATTCATCACACACTCCCGCTAACCCCGAATCGGGAAGTGATGAGTCAGCCATTGGTTGAACACCGCATCGGCAATTGAAAAACAATCAAAGTCTCCCTCCTCCTGTAACCCCCAAGTGGGAGAAATTTTGTGGAGTCTGGTCAGCACAAGTAGGAACCCTTCCTACCTCTCAAATCTCTGTATGATGCCATGCTTTGCATGACCCCAGGTACCGATTTTCCTCTTGGTGAACTAGAGGAGTGTTTCAACCCTTGTATGATGCCCGACGAGCGCACAATAGCCTGCGGCCGAATACGTACCAGCTACCCAGACTAGTCGTCTCGCAGTGTCTGGTTAGGCACTTTTTGCATGGTCTAGTGTTTCCCTGCTAGCCTATATCGAATGCCGGGGGAGGTTTTCTTTGCTTTTTTGGTAAGTCCTCTGTGATGACCCACGGGCAAAATAAAAAAGCCGGGGTTAAATGCTGTAGCTGACTAGCACTACACAGTCGCATCGCATTGTCCCGGATTTTACTCTACCTGATTCCCCTTTGTCCCGAATGAAGTCTCCTAAACCCAAATTTTCCCGCACCAAAACCAAACCTGTTGTCCGGATAATCCGCTGCACCTACCGAATTCCTTGGATTTCGACTATCGGGGGTAGCGGGGTGCGACTCTAAATACTGTTTAGAGTCACTAGATTACGAGTTCAGAGTAGTGTTCGCAAGGGGTTAGGTCCACCTGTTGATAGGCTGTAGGTACACAGGTCACTTCCATGTGAGACCGGCCTGGGCCTTGTACGAATTTACCCTCCGTTTTCATAAGGTCAAACTAGTAGGAACCCATCCCCAAATGCATTTTTAGTCAACGCATTACATTTACCATTGACCGTTCTACACCAATCCCTTCAATCTCACGGCCACCTCCAACTCTAGCCTCTCCTTCGCGTATGGTCCTCTCTGGATCTCTCTCATCATGTCGGTCCCCGGGGGGAAGTCGGACTCAAAGACTGGCTCACCCGCTCTTCTCATGTTCGCAAGCACAGACTGTCGGAAGTGCCACCGCAAAAGCTGATCCGAGACACGATGAGGATCTGATGGATCGCGGCAAACGGGATCTAGAGTTCTGCCATCCATACCGTATATATCATTATCAAACACAGTAATTTTATAACCATCCTGTTGGGGATGATCAGCATCGCCTAGGGATAGTAAATTATAGTGGAGAACCCACATCTGGATTCACTGACAATAGGTACTGATCAAATAGGCCGTGGATGTGTTGACTGAGCAGAAACCCGTTCTGGCACGAGTTGATCCTTGAGACACCAACAGTGTCATCCATGTCCGTGATGTACTGCCCATAACCCCACTCGATCCAGAGATTCTCGCTTCCCAGCGGAAAAACATGTGCTGCTTCAAAACTCGCCCACCGAAATGGAGCACTCATATTTATCACACCTGAGATTACGCATCTTCCATCTCGCGCCCGAATTCCATCGCGAAAGGCGTCCTCCCGGCCAGAGACATTGTACGAGATGACTCGATGTATCCACGGCTCATTGCTCAATTGAACGGGAGCTAGAACCGAGTTAATGATTACCTTTCCATGAGCAGGGGCAACTACCTACAGTCACAATAAATATCATACGTCCCGATTGCCAGGCGGCTGTTGATCACCGATACGACATGGCGTGAAATTCGATGTTGAACACGTATAGGAGTTTCCACGACTAGAACAATCCCAAGCATGTGAAGGAAATCCGCCTCCGTAACCGATCCATTCTGGATGAATCCGCCAAGGGCATCGCTGCCAGGGTTGGCAGGATCATAAAATTCTACGTTCCGAAAGTGCGAGCGACTTGAACTCATGCTGCCGAAAACCTGTCTTCTATAGTCAGGGTGTGCGGAGAGTTTTATGGGTTAGAGGGTGAGTGGGGGGGGAAGGCAATGGATTTAGTCACGTGAAGAATTCTTAGTGAGGGGATGCGGGAAAATGGAGGGGAGGAAGAAAATAAAGAGAGGAGGGAAAGGAGGTTTACTTGGCGGAGCTTCTTGTGAATATCTACAGCAGAAGTAGTTCCACCTATTGCCTCCGGATATCCTCGGTGGTGGGCACGAGTGAGTCCGTTGGCCAGGCGAGGAGGAAGAAAGGCTGTAGGCGAGTCCCCACCCCGGGGCGGGTTGCACATGATTACGTCAGTCGGAGCTAGGATGAACAAACACGCCATGTATTGGCTTGGCGGTTATAATATCATGCGGTTTCGTAGTGTAGTTGGTTATTACACCAAGAAATCACATAAAAGAAATCGCTGTTTGTGTCCCATTAAGCCTGAAATGGCAATCCTCGGGGGGGTGGCGTCAAGCATCCCTTAACCCGCGCAATGTGAGTCTGGTTGAAAAACATTGACCCGTCACCTACTGAACCCAACTTAGCCACTATTCGGGGGGGCCGAGCTGCACACCTCCTCCCTGGACTGCTGCTCTACTTTTGCTCCCCCCCCCGGAAACACGGTACGTTCTCCCAGAGCCGAAAGGCAATCCTGTAAGTTAGAGCCCAATAGAAAGTATAGACAAGATCCGAACCTTGGTATTCGAGGCCCTAGAGCATGTTGACAACAATTACAGTGGACCATCCCTACCGCCTAGAATAACACTTGAGGCCGGGGAAAGCGTTTGGAAGCCGACAGATAGTTCTTCACTCATCGGGTTCATTCAGTAATTGGTTCGGATGCCCTATGGGAGAGCACAGTATCTATTACCAGCGCCACCCCTTCCCTGTATTGATAACTATATCCATCAAGATCACAAAACATCACTCGACACACACCAATATTCCGATCCACACATCACGAAGACACTGCGCTGGTTCCGGCTGGGTGTGACCACAGCCGGCTCCTGTCGGCCGAATACAGGAATATATGGAAAGCTCATCAAATTTAATGATATTATAGAATACTCCAAAGGAGAGAACCCAACGATAACATTCTAACCCCTAGCGGATGGTTGCCGGAACTACCATCTCCAGCCGGCCCCACCGTCGACAGCACTTGGCCATACACTCCCCCCGGAGCACCAACTCACCGGTATACGTCCCCCCGTTCTCACAAACTGCTGGGCGGGTGGTGGAAGAGGTTAGTGGATTCGGGAGTGGTGGGGTTGGTAGTAACCTTTCACCAATAATCACTCGACTTTTTCGAATGATACCACCAATAACTGCTGCGGTTAACACTTTTTGGAGCTAGGTGAATAATTTACAAGAATCGAGAAGCCCCATATATACACCCCACTAACTGGCGGCCGACGCTCCAGATATGAAAATATGGTTACATTGCGAGCGCAAAACTGCAATTGCACCCCCCCCCCCTTTCGTCGTCTCCAACCCCTTTTTCCGTGTTTGCACCCGCATCGTTCCCCTCATATCTCTACGCATCCTAATCGTTTCTTCGAGCATCTCCCTGGTCCCCTTCTCCGCTATTGCCCTCTCCCGCAGCCCTCTTTCCTTCTTCACCTTGTACGGCCCTAACAATTTCGAGATGACTTTCCCTAGCATCCCGCTTCCTCTGAAGCCCTGCAACCTTCTTTGCCTCCTTCGCCTGCTTCTTCATCGCCTTCAGGAAGGAGGCCGCCTTATCCTTGACAATAACCCTCACCCCATCACGGTGGGGGTCCTTGATTGTGACAAACTTTGACATTGTGTTCCTTCTGTCTCCACCAATCTTTATGTTTCGGTTTGTGCCGGCTTTCACTCCAAGCGCCCAGAGGTCACCCCGCCCGCTCTTCCTCGCCTCTCTGTACTCCAATTTTCCGAAGCTCTGGGGAACAACCCAGCGTTCGATGGAGCCCGTCGCAGTGCATAAGTCGAGTATAATGTGCGAGTCGCGTTTGATAGGTGGGAGTATGATGCGCGGAAGGGTCTAACTGTAATTCTAGAGTTGTTGCATTGTGTACGGGGTCTGAATTGGCGTATCAGGCTCGCCATCGAAGGGGGTTATGCCAAAGCCATCTATCATTGGATTAATTTGGGTTCTCCGTGTCAGCGCGACGGTCGATACCACGACGGAAGGCGACATACGAGTACTCGAGATCTTCATGGTCTCTTTTTTTGATGACTCATCCATGAGTCCCAGCAGATAGCTGGGGCGTTCATAGCGCTGCGAGAAGCGGAAGTAGTCTTTGCGATTGGTGCCGTCTGTAGGGGCAGAGGGGAATAAGCTCATTGTTCTTGGTTCGTGGATGGGGCGATTGTAGTGCCGGGCTCCTTTTCGATAGGGGGTTGGCGAAGCCACCGGCATTCTTGGTCGAAAGGGATTGAAAAGCTTTGCCAACATCCTGGATGCAGTCCTCTGGGGTGGTGGTGCGGGCGTGGGCGACAGCCTCGAAGCCCATGGCATGCCTATTTCGATGATCGAAAGGACGCGGCGGTTCGGATTTAGGTGCCACCAGAGTTGTTGAATCGTTTGGCGGCGGAAAAACGTCTTCCCTATCAGGAGGATTCTGTTGTAGCAATGACCAGATTGTAGAGTTTTCTCGGCTGAGCCCGGCGTGTAGTGTAGGTTTTCGATATAGATATCCGGCACTCGAGAAATAAACAGAGTATCGTCCAAGAGCCCTGACGACCACTGCCCGCAGTCCACTCCTCTCCCTCACGGCCGGCAGTTCCTTCCCACCCGGGCCAGGTGGCGGCTTCCCTGCCCTCTCCGAAGGCTCATCCTCCCTTCCCTCCTCGTCCGCTTGGACAATACTTTGCCAATCAAGTACTCGAGCGCCCCTACCTCCTACATCAAGCACATTCTTAACACCCTGCTTCCCCCATCCCGGCCGAGCACCCAATCGCCGCCCAACCGTTTCCGCAGCTTGGTCAACAAACTCAAGCACTGCACACAGCCTCGGCACCACCGCAGTGAAAAACACGTCAGTATCGATACCCGACATTGGAATGTTAGTCGGGTTCAAGGGAACAGTCAGCGCGCGCTTACTCCACTTCTTCGAGTAGATGGGTAAGAATTGGGGGTGTGGGCTGCGGAGAGTCCTATGCGCCGAGTTCACTATATGCAAGGTGGCAGCCTCCGCCATCAGAGATATCTACCCTTCATGCAGTAGTACCCCAACGCCCCCGCAAAACCCACAGGTCAGCCAGCGCTCCAAGCCCAAACGACCTCTGCATCAGCCAATCCTCAGTCTTCTTCTGTTGCCTCATATTTGTGATAGCGCTAAGATGACTGATAAGCGTCCGTCAATCCATCCGGATGGCCTTCGTCACCCCCAAACTTCTCCAAGAGTTCAATAACCTTCTTAAACAACTCATGCGATTCCTCGGCAACGGACCCAGGATTTGACAAAATAGTGTCAGCATGAACGTTTAGGACTTCGATAGTCTGTTTGTGCTCTGAACAACTTGGTTAAAAAATTTTCGAGAATAGCATGGATTACTCACTGATTTTTGATGCTAGCTCAGGTTCTAACCCATAAAGTGCCTTAAACGTGTTGGTGTCTTTTCTTTTTGGCCCCCCTTGCCGCCCCCCTGGGCGACATATAAAGAGCGGCTTCGACTTGAAGATCGCTTTGATCTGTAGCCATATTTCCGTCCCAAATGATTTTGCAGTCCGAATTGCATTTTTTTTTTTTTTAAGGATGTCACGCTTAAAGGTGCTTAGGAATTGATTTCGAAGACGCTTGAACCCCTCGGAGAAAATCATCAAACTGAGCATTTCCTCAGCAAGTCCATTGAGCTTCCTTTTCTGGAAGCCAAGATCCTCTTGCTGCAAGGTGAACTTTGAGGAGTGTGTTAATCAATAAATTACCTGGGAGGAGGCAGAGCTTTGGGGCGATTTTTTCGGTGGCCTTCCCCCGTTCACTGGGCTACGCTGCCCACCCGTCTTCAGGACCGTTGCTTTGATGGAGGTGAAGGTTTTTTTTTATCAACCAAACTGTTTCGCAAGAAACACCACTCGTGTGTGCGAGAACAGACGTGAGGGAATGATGAAAATACTACTCGGATGGGAGGATGTCAACCCTGACAAGCCAAACAAATTGGGCCAAACACTACTCTTGTTTGCCGCTTGGAATGCTAATGAGCGGGGGGGCGGAATGTCCCTGGGATGGGGAGAGATTACCTTCGAACACGGAAAACATATCACCCTTCCCATAACAGCCTCACAGACATGTTCATCACCACCGCTGCCACCCGCTCCTTTTGCTTCGATTAGAGCTCCTCATTGGTAGAAATACCCCTCTTTCCTTATCTTCCCTTCCGGGTCTACGTCAGCCACGGGGATTGCACTTTGGTATCGTCCTTCGCTCCGGTTTTCCGGAGATCTCGTGCGATGGGAATGCATATATGTCACTATACCTGTCACGGTCAGTTCAGCTACCAGCGTTCTTTTGTGGATACAGTATTTAGCACTTTCGGAGTCATTGGTCAAGAGGGAGGGGGGGTGATTGCTATCGGTTATTCTGCTTATAACCGGTAGTGATCTGCTCCTCAGGTCAGTGGAATTGGGACTTGCCAAGATGACGGAAATCGACGATAGAGATTCTCTGATCTCAGGTTGATGAATTTGTTTCTCAACAGGGTTGAAGGTTAGATAAACGAAGAGGAAAGTAGTGTAGAAGAAGAGAGCAACAATGTTCACAGAAAATAGAGCCACACGGGCACGAATATTCCCTCTTGTTAACACAACCTCTCCATAAGTGTCATATTGGAGAATTTATTTTAAGTTAGGCAGTCGTAGCAAAACGTCCCCACAGCGACATTCACCATCAGCCCTCACTGTCACTAACGCAGCCATCGCGGAAAGAATACAAAAAAAGTAAAAGCTCCAATCCCTCAATAACAAAACCATCAACACTACTTCCATGGCCATTAGCGACGATTCCGGAAAGTACGTAGCTCTTCGAATTACTCATGCAATGGCTAGACGAATTTGTCTTGCGAAGCGATCATATCCACCGAACCAGCCAATGTACCGTACGCGGGTGGCATGTCATTCGTTGCGATTCCTTTCTGGTAAAGCTGTCCCGTTCTAATGCCGCGCGCCTCCGCCTCTCCCACCTTCCGCACGCCAGAATCGTCCCAGGCTGGTGGTTACTATTCAAGTACCCGCCATAGTTGCCACGGCGGTCATAAGTAGTTCCCTACCCCTTGGACCAAAGGCTGAAAAGTATTAGTGGCAGTTGGTACACAGGATATATCAAGACAGTAGGATTTCAAAAACAAACCAATTTTGCGTAGCATGGTCCATCAAACGTGTAGCGAAGGGAAAGTGTAAGATGTTTGCAGTTTGGATATTGGAAGGTTAGTGGGAACCAGACCCTGGAAGGACTGACGAAGGGAAAGTATGTATGGGTTTGTTTGTGGTTCGGATATTCGACGGGCTTGCCGGGAAAGGCCAGCTTTAAGTGCCCCCAGCCCCTGCGCCACTGCTCTGTTACCCGGCCATTACTAGTAGACCAGGCTGTTCCGTTATCAAGGCGGAGGAGGCCTCAGCGTGACGCAGTACCGTACAAGTACTAGCCAATTTCAAAAGTATCCGGACACCTGCTAGACTTTTGCGTTTTTCTTCTTGAACTGCTCACCACTTCTATAGCCATAGCTCACAGATGTGTGACACAACTACAACTAGTTGTTCCTGATTGTTTCACTACCTTAGCCTCAGACACATCTCGAAACACTACCTGCACATCAACCTCACCAGACATCGACTTGCCTCCCAACGAAACGCAGCAAGGGCAATCATGACCAGAGACCTCATAGTCCTCGGTTCTACTCTTCTGTCCTTGGCACATCAGTTCAGTATACCCATGGCTACTCATCTTTTGCCTTGGGTATGATATGGATAAGCACGGGTGTATCGCAATGCCGTTGGAGTTGGATAGGAGACTTGGTAGGAGAAGAAATGGGTGCATACTCTATGATGGAAAGTGTATAAAGAAGCTGGTCCTTCTCATTTCTTTTGTCGTTAAGCTAACAAGCCAAGTTTCCTTCACTTTGTTTCCTATCACAGTTCAGTCATTCGTTTCATATACCTTTCTCTCTTTGAATTCTTCTTGGTATTTCTATTTGCTCGTACCAATAAACCTCTCGTGTTGTTCAATCGTCAAGGATTAGATCCGCTGTGCCCCACCAACCATTGTATTGTTCAAAAACACCTTGGAGCTACTCTGTCTTAAGCTTGGCGCCAAAGTGTCCGAATATTAAAAGGATCAGCTAGTATCATACTTGAGGTGTGATGGGATGCGACTATCAGTGTTCGCACCGGGGCAGCTTGGCAGTCCGTCCGTCCTGGACCAGGACGGCGTTTTGTCGTCCCGTCCGGTCATTTTCTCAACATGCCCGACAAGTAGGAATGAAGGACCAGGACGGACCACACTGTGTCGTCCCGTCCGGTCTTTTCCTGAACTTGCCCGGCACATAGGAGCCAAGGACCATTCCCCGACCGCCCCCTACAACAAATGTGGCACCCTAGAGAGTCCCATTTCTTTTCCCAGTATTATGTTGACAAGAATAGCGGTACCACTATGAGCTCTTAGAATATTTAGAAGAAGATAAAGGATACAACAACACATAGCGACAATTCAGATATATGGTCTTTTCTTTTTACGTTGAGATCCAAGTCTCTGTATTCATGATATGTAACCCACCCGCTTGCAAAAATACGAAGTTATGAGGAAAATTTTGTACACTAGTAAGTTGCTGGGTTAGCTGGAAAACTCAGAATTATTCTAAGAGGGTGTTGGGATATGGCGTGGATAGGATTTATTCAGTAGTCCCCGGCGGTCCCCTACAGTTGCTCACACTCACCGACATTTCCCTGCCATCCCCCACCGTCCCCGTCGTCCCCTACTGTCCCCCGCCGTCCCCCACGATGCCCGGTGGTCCTTTGCAGTCACCTGCCGTCCCCTACCAGGAGTTGTCTCAGATTGTAGGGCTCGTCGTCCTTCCTCATGATGGCCGTCCTAGGAGTTCAAGGACGAGGACGGACTGTATTTTGCCGCCCCGTCCCGTCCCGTCCCGTCCCGGGCTCTTGGCAGTCCTTCCGTCGGGCCCTACGGGGGCTCCGGACGGTTGCGAACACTGGGTTGCTCCATTAGTGACGAAAATGAGGTGCATGGTAGGCAGAGAATGTGTGAGGAGGTATGGGTACTGAAGTCGGGTTGCGTACCTTGTTTGCCATAAACCCCCATCTCCTGAATCCACCGCTGCTGCACCATGAGAGCAAAGATTCTGGGTCTGTCTCAGCCCTTTCGAGAACTTTGTATAACAACGATCAATAACTTGATTCTAATATTCTATTTAGCCTTCGTCGCCAAAAATGCGGGTGCCTTCGTCGGCCTATCTGGGAGCTTCGCCCTTGGGGGTTTCCAAACACTGTACCAACAAAACGAGCAAAGGAAGGACCGGGAACTGCGAGAGAGAGTTTTAAAAGAGGGTATAGAAGCCAAGAGGCTTCTTAAAGCATACATCCAGGTCAAGGCCTTACAAGAAGAATGGATACACGAGGACCGAATAGTGGAGAAAGTCAAACTAGCTCTACAAGCCGACGTCAGCACCCCGCGCAAAAAAAACACCGCCGTCGGCATGATACGACCAGTCCCGCTCAGTGTTCCCAACCGTCCCGGGTAGCCTGGGTAAGGACGGCAGGGCATGGCGTCCGTCCTTGATAAAGACCGCCGTCCGAGGGGTTGACGCTCGGGCCCGGGAGTCTTAATACAAATGGCATCTTCCGGCCGTCCTCACCAGGGCCCTGTCGCCATTCGCAGAGCCCGACCGTCATTCGCAGAGCCCGGCCGTCATGTATAGGGCCCGACCGTCATTCGCAGGGCCCGGCTTTCATCTGCAGGGCCATTTGCAGGTGAGACACCTATAGGGCTCCGCCGCCCGCCTTGGGTAGTGGTTAGGACGGACCACAGGACGGGCGTCCGTCCAGGGCAGAGTTCCAGAAGCTGGTGTCCGTCCCGTCCGAAGCCAAGGACGGACGGACTGGACGCTTGGGAACACTGGAGCAACCTGTATTACGCTGCCCAGAAGGCGTCACCTCGCATCCTAGTACTCGACGAGTGATGATCCATGATGCTCCCCTGAGATATCCATTCCTATCCCGATTATCACATTACCCCAGAGTACGGATAGAGTGTTTGATTACCTGGAATAGGGAATAATGGGTTTTGTGGTGTGGTTGGTCATCACACCAGTCTAACACACTGGTGGTCCCCGGTTTGAGCCCGGGCGAAATTATTTTAATTTTAATTTTTTCCTTTTCTCGCGCTGGTCATCGCGGGGTTGGTGATGAGGAAATGAAAACAAGCAAGATTGGGGGTGTACAAGGTTCTGGAAAGTGGAAGGGTGCCAGTAGTTTAAGCATATAATAGACGAGTAGTGCGATGCAGAATTCATCTATCTGGCTTCCAAGTCGGGTTTCACGAACACACAACAGACCCTCTTAGGCTGTGACCCGAGTGATCACTCATGATGGCAGATGCTCTATGGTACTTTACAATAGTCTCATACTGGTATCACAGAATCCCACGATCAGAAAAAGTCTAATGTGAAAAAGCCAAAGTATATCATCCGTACTTATTACTCAACAAAAAAAACTGACCAGCTAACATACCGTAACGACCGAAAAATCAAGCAAAGTTAAAACTGTAAACCTAAACATTCCCACCCTCACCCAGTTGTTGGAAATTTTGTGATAATTGTTTACCTCCCACGCTACCCACTTTGTTTACCAGATGCTCCGACTTCCGGGCGGCAGCATCGAGGTTAGTCCTATCCTCGGAAGAACCAGTTGGTTGGTTGGCCGCCGTACCCCCTCGCCTCTCCAAGTCCATGAGGCTAACTTCGCTGTTCTCGCTGCGAAGGTCGGCCTCGACCATTCTGGCAATCCATGTCTCTTAGGTGGAGAAGTCTTTCACTACGTTGTCCTTCCAGCCGTCAACAACGGATAGGCTACACTCAACTTCTTCAGCTAGGCGGCCGACTTTTGCGTCTATACTTTCTTCCGGTTCAGCATCTTCCCTGCTCTCAGCCTCGCGCTTCCCACTTCTTATCACTCCCGCCTTTGACCGACCCCCAAACTCCCTTTAGTTCCTCTGACCACCCCAGCTCTGCCCGCAAGCTTTCTCACCCCCTGCTCGCACCTGCCTAGCAAAAGCACATCACCCGCCCGGCCACCAATCCCCCCACCCTCTCATTGTTGATTAAAACCCTGACAGCCCCCTCTCTTACCGTCCGGGAAGCGCCGCAAATGGGTAATGCGCAGTGAGCTCCCCATCACAATCACCATGTCCGCCTCCTTGACCATTCTAAGTCCTATATGAAACTCCCTCCGTAAGCTCTCCCCAAAGGATACAATATTCGGCTTCACCAACCTGGCACAAGTCTCGTACAGAACGCTTCTGGTGAGAAGGTGCTTCTTCATCCTATTGGCCAGGTAAGCGGCGTGACAATCAATGCATGACTGCCCCGCGAATGAACCATCGGCTTCGACGAGCTTCTCCAGCGGAACTCCTGAGGTGCATTCCAGTGTGTCTATGTTCTGGGTGAAGCACTTGTGAAGCAAGTTCTTCTTCGCCGTTAGCGATATGAAGGCGTGTGTGACTGACGGGGTGAATTGGCCAGGGTATAGGGATTTCACGAGGGTGTAGAAAGGTTAGGTATTGGTGCGAAAGAAGTTTATGTCGAAGACAGCCTCCCGGTGAGGTTGGGGTGGAGGCCTGTGCCTGGTTTGCAGAAGTCCGGGATGTCAGCGGAGGTGGAGATCCCAGCACCACATTAGGAGACATGCTATCTTAAGGTAGTGGAAGCAGCGGTGGGGCTTTGGGAAAGGGAGGTATCATACGTAGGCGAGGTCTGGTATTTTTGACGAGCCTGAAAATGTTCCAAGAAAGTGATCATGAGCTATACAACTACCAGTAGAGGCTAGGGATCTTCGTAGGGTAAATGGACATACTAATGAGGGCCAAACTTCGCAGAATTTTTCTTCTAAAAAACACACCCACTCTTTTTTTACCAAGTCTGCTCCACCGACATATACCAAGCGACACACCGCTGGCGCCGGAGGACCAGATCATCGTACTTAAACATCGCCCCCCCGCTTTTCTCTGTACAGACCCTCACTCAAGAAAACAAGAAACCATGCGGAAACAAAAACCTTCATCGGCGAAAGCGCTATACAGGGCCGCGTCCAGCCTACGTTTCCTGGCGGAGGACGTGCGCGCCGTGCTACTGATTTGCCCGCAGTTGCCGCACGTGGACGAGATTATCCGGGGTATGGATGATGTCGGGAGGGTGTTGGATGGGGTGCTGAGGGGACTTTTGGATGGGGATGGGAATGGGAAGGAGGTTGTCGAGAGGGAGGTTGTCGAGAGGTGTGGGAGGACCCTGGATGCGGTTGTTGTGGATCTGTTTCTTGGGGAGGAGGGGGGGTATTAGGGGGGGCTGAGGGGAGAGGGTGTGGTAGAGGAAGGGGTTTGGTGGGATATGGGCGTAGGACTTGGTACCATCTACCGGTACCAGTAGACTACACCATGAAACCACCTAACCATTCACCAAACTCTCCCCCTAGACCTAAATCGGAAAGTGATGATTCAGCCCTTTGGTGAACACCGCTTTTTTGATTGAAAAACAATCCACCTCCCCCCACTAATAGCGTGACCCAAAATCAGAGGAATTTTGTGGAGCCTGCACCGCATGAGTAGGAACCCTTCCCGCTTCTCAAATCATCATGCTTTGCACCCCTCGGTGAACTAGACCTGCGTTTGTAACCCAGCTATGATTCCCGATGAGCCCGCCCCAGAACCAGACTTTTTATCAAATAGCTTACTGCGGAATAGATACCAACTTCTGTATTAGAATCGCTCAAGGACCTTCTGCGCCACAATCAGGCTACATTACGTCCGTTTACACAGCACATACAGGAGATTGTGCCTTCGGTGCTATCGCAGAAGTGCGGTCTCAGCAGGCTCGGACGTTGGGTAGGAGCTTTTTTTTGTCTCACTACATTTTTCTGATACCACCCCTCGCGGTAGGGGCATTATCGGGATCGAAGTCAATGAAGGAGCTGGAGGCTCACCGAGAAACAGAGTTGTAGCAGCCGCAGAATCGTGCACTTGTACTGTCGGGTCGGTGATTTCTGTGATCGATGAGCTATTTGAGGTGATTCTCAGATGTGCTGCTGAAGGGCTCCGCGCCGGAATAACAGCACGGATGTCTTCGGTGCCTCAACTATCGGGCTGGGTGAACGGAAGAGGATCTCGAAGGGATTCGGCAGAGCGGAGATGTTACTAAGGCTGCTGTCGCAATTCCTCTGTGACCCTCCCAGTTCGCGGGTCGTCATCCCACTATTGCAGCTTGTCGGGCTTACTGGTAGGCTGGCCGGATTCCCCTGCAAGGCAGCCGGGAGCAATCCCGCGATCGAGCGGCCCGAGAGAGAAACAATAATGGTTAGACTATCGAGTTCAAAATGCTGCGTATTAACCCTCCTATGCACTGCACTCGAGCGATTAGGGAGAAGATTCGCTCGTTGGCAAATCTAGTGATAACAGGTGGCCACTATATACTCCCAACATCGCTCCGATACGGGAATTCGAACGGCAGTCTATACCCGCCTCACTGTACTCCTAAACCTCTTCGGACTAGCTCTGGACAAACAAACTGTAGCCTCGGTCACTCCAATTTGTCCTCGCTTTACACCGACCTCGTCCTCAACGCGACAGGCCCAAAAGTCGTCCTCCTGCCAAGCTCGTGGGGAAAACGCAGCAGCGAGAATGCTGGAAAACAGAAGGAAGCCCATGCGGGCTCGTTCCTCTCACCATCATCGTGGCCCCACCCCCGACCAATGTGGCTTCGGGGGTTAGTCTCGGCCGCGGGGGGACTCTCAGCAGCTGTAGTGGGGAAGTTGCCGCCCAACCATATTCACTCTCAGACGAGAAGGCTGCTAGATCGTGCTGCCATATGTATTATGAGAAGGCAATGATGGTGAGTGCCTTGTTCCCAAGTACTGCGCTAAATGGAAACTCGATGGGCGGGAGCATACTCCCCCACCTAGTCGGCGCAAGTAGAGGGAGTTTAGCGGTTGAAGGGATTGTGAGGCCCAGACTGCCAGTCCTTTGGGTTGGTAGGTCGATAATCCTAAGGAGGAGGAGGAGGAGGAAGTAGAAGGAGACGACTAGGAAATAGAGGGCGAAGAGGAGAAATATGTGGCCATGAATCATAAAACAAATACAGCCCAATTAGATAACATAACTGAGAAGCCTGGGGAAAAATGCAGTATACGGAGTATGGCACAGCCACGACACCACCCCCTCTCCGAAACGCCACAGGCCATATAAACAAATACCTCCTCTCCATTTACTGCCAGCGCTAGGACCGAATCCTGTTCCTGCGCCTGCTCAGGGACTCCGGCCTGTCCAAGTAGCTTCTACAGCACACACCACACTAGATTACCTCCATAAAAAACCGCCTAACAAAAAATCCCTGAAGTCCCACAACGCCAGCTCACACCTACCGCCACTAGTGCGCCACTATCTACACCAGCTACACTCCCAACCACCGCCCTAGCTCGGCAAACCGAAACCATCCCCGAAAATGCCCGCCTCGAGGCGGTGGGTTCGGATAACGAATTGATCATTCCGGAGATAGACATGTGGGAGATCACCGATGACGACGGCGAGTCACAGGAGATCTAGAGAAGGGGAGGAAAGGTGTGGGTTATTAGCTTTGGGTATGTAGGATAAGCAGTGGGTGGCTAGCTATACTCGAGTACAGGTGCGAAATGTCCAAAGTAATTTATTTCTTTTATTCTTTAATATCCCCTCCAATGTAAAGTAATGTGATGTGAACTCTAGCGTCCGACTTGAGTCATTTGACTGAGTGATAATTTGTGATGTGGGAGCCAACGGTGTACCGTACTCGAGCACCGCGATATCGGCATGGAAGCAACCTCGATGCATCAAGCAGGCACTCTACCTGCCCCCCGGTCTTCACACACCAACAGAAAAAAAAGAAAATGTCAACACCCAAAATAGCTTGCATCGCTCTAATCAGCCGCAACGTATCCTCTCCGCTCCTGTACAGTACCATCCCCAAGCTAACGAACTATTGAAAACTAAAAAAATAAAAATAAAATACAGAGCTCACCCCTCCACCTCCACACCTTCCCTCAATCCCCCATCCCCCCCAATCGACGCTAAAATACCACTTCCTGATGTGCGCCACGCTGGACTTCCTCCAGTTCCACTTACCGCTCAAGTCCAAGGACGACAGCGACTTTAGCCGCCTGTAGATCATAGACGAGGAGCTAGCCGCGTACGGGTTGCGGGTTGTTGACTAATATGGACGTTAAGATTGTGGTTGTTGTGGATTCGGATCCGGCGGCGGCTTGCGGGTTAAGGATGGGGAGTTGAAGACGGTGACTTTTGCTTGATTGGTGGGGTGGAGTGGAGTGGAGTGGAGGAGGGGCTAACGATGGGCGGATGGAAGTATCGTAGGGTTTTCAAGCGCTACAGACGGCGTGTCATACCTCCAAGACGGACGGACTAGATGGTTCGGAACACTGCCCCAAGTTCTCGAGCCACCAACAAGAATCGGCAACCAAGCGTCCACGGGATTCCCAAAGTCCACACTCGATGACCAAAGTTTGCCAATTGGTTTTACGAGGGCGAGGCAACCAAGGCTTTAGTGTGCAATCAGCTTGTTTTTGGCTTCCGATTCCTTGATAGGTGGTAGCACCCATCAGGCCAAGAGCAGACTCCAGCCCCATCCCTGCTGCCTTCTTCTTAATGAGGTATGCAAACTCCTGGCTAGCTACCTCGTGAACTGCCCCGGGGGTGGTTTTGACGATTAATGTCTGTTCATCTTGGAGGTAGAGAAAGTCCTTTGAGGCGGGTATTGCGAATACGATCGATAGTCGCAAGCTTTGTTTGCGTAACCGAGGAAAACACAGCGTACTGTCCAGAATTCAAGTTACCAGAAAATAATTCGTCGGCTTGGGACTCAATCGCTCTTGTGAATGAGCGCGTATCGCGATATTTCTGGTGTCCTACCCCTTCTAACCCACGGCTAAGAAAATAGTGCAAACTGCATATCGTGTAGCCGACTAGGCTGTGGGGTTTCGGGTGCGCAGGGGGTTGGGGAGACATCCATTTGCTCGGCGGACAAGGCACCCATTATTTCCGGCAGCTGGTAGTAGATATTCCGTATAAACTAAGGAGGACAGCATGTTTCTTTTGCATTACCGGTATTAGAAGAAAGTGATGCCTCTTAGGTGGTACAAGTACCAGTACCATCTATCGCTGGACCGCGGTTAATTTTGTCCACGGATAATACGTACTGGTGCTGGCGTTCCAAATAGGGACAGCGGGGATGAGATGGGTGATACTTCATGTTTCCACTTTCGCCTTTTGAGAAGTATCTCTTGCGAATATCATGAGCCGGGAGCTATAGAGCGGTTTAGTAAGGGGATATAGTTACTGATATATATTCTAGCCATATTTTTAATATTTGTGGGTTCCTACTACTGATGCTATTTACTCAACTATCAAATGCCGCTGTATGCGGACAGAGTCGTTTTTACAAACGTCGGAGGGCTACGTGTAGACTTCACCCATTTCACCACCATAGCGAAATGCACGCGAGGCGAATGAGAGACACATGTTTGCCAGTCCTATGTAGGAGCCATCTTATTCCTTGATCAATCCAAAGTAGGTGTGAAAGAAACACCAAGCAAAGAACCACTCCTCAGATTTCGACTACCTTTCACCACTCATAATACAATCAAACCTTTCTATGATGTCTACCCACCGAGGTGGAAGAGCCCCCCCAACTTTCACCGTACCCGGACCCCTGATACCGGCCCAATTGGCTTCGATGGAAGTTGCTAAGGAGGGCTGGGCCATTGTGGGAGAGGAGCACCGAGACAACTTCCTCGTAGTTGGGGGTGCTGCGCTCCTCCTTCACGGCTATCGTATTCTTACCAACGATACCCATCTCGCTATCACCGCTGATTCTTTATACAAGTTTGAAACCCTAGCGAAGTCAGATCCCCGCTTTTCCCGAAACATGCTCGGGGAATGGAGCTTTGAATCCCACCACGGATTTTTTGTGACCATCGACTTTCTCGACAAGACAGGGGAAGGCGGATGCCTACACAAGCGTACCGATTATTCCCTCATCGATGGGATGCCGGTGGTTACCTTGGTAGACCTGGCAATTGCAAAAGGAGGGGCGTGGGTCGACCGTCAAAAGGAAAAGGACCTTTATGGCTTCAAGTGCGCCGTGAAGACTATGAGGGAAAAAAGTTGAATTTTAAGGGGCTGAGTGAAGAGAAGCGTGTGACCCTCGACGATATAATGATCAAACTCGAGGGGATGAGAGAGGAGAGGGGGTTGCTTCGGGCAATTAGGACGCTACTGTAGTGGGTGCAAAATGTTCACTGTAGAAGGAGTGCTATTGTTAACGGAGGAGGGAATTATTGTCCACCGGACCTTCCACCATCACCACAACGCGGAAGAAAACACAATAGTTGGTGGCACCAGCAAAACGAATGTAACCCAGCCCACCATGGGCCAAACACACATATCCAGACCTCCCGTGATTCCATCAAAGCAAAAACAAGCCCCGTATGAAAATGAACCTTGGTCAATCACAAAGTTCAGAAGGAGGTACAAGTCGCCAATTACTGAAGGGGGATGCTTCACAAACATATGTAGGTGTTAATCATTGTCATCAATGAACTGCAACTCCACATATTGTCTACCGATAACCACCGAATATAGCCTCACAGTGCTTTCATGATGAATGGAACTTTCGGCCCCAGAGTTCTTCCATGAATAGCAGCATATTTCTCCCGCCGCTCCACAATCCTCTTCATCCTTCTTTCTTGCTGCCGCTGGCGCTGGGTAAAATATTCTGCCAATTGCTCGGTGTTTTTAACTTTTGACAGAAGTTTCTCTTCCTAGAGGGGCGAGTCGAGGACTAAATATCTTGCCAAATTGTCCATGTCCATCTGAGATATACAACAGGTGCGGCCCCATTCCCTTAGGCGATTCAGGCACGAGTCAAGATATTCCGGGATGGTTAGTATGAATACCGGAAAGTTAATCGGCTCACCCCACACGAATTTAACGTCCTCATCCGTAATCAGATATGGCAAGGACCTCCGATCATGGGGGATCCGATCTTTGGGGTTCGGGTGAAATTCCGATTCTACCAATGCGGGGTTGAAGTTAACGGGATGCCGGACCTAGATCTTCTCGGTGTCGACCGTGAGGCGGTAGGTGTCCTCGCTGCAGAGGCAAATATACCACTGATCATCGTACCTCTTGAATCATCCAACGGAGCGATGTTCCCCACTTTCGGGCAGCACAACCAATTCCGGAATGCTAGATTTGTCGACCTCCAGCCATTCACCGCTTGGGCTAGTGTCTGATATATAGATCCCGCTTGTGAGGTTCTTACTAGGATATCCATAATCTATGCAGGAATGTTAGCTTTGGAAAGCAGGTAATCGGAAGGTGAGGCAAGCTATGCTTACATATCCTGAATGTACCGGAACTCCCATCTAGTTTAGTGCATATTTTCCAACTAGGACGAATGGATGATCGTGCTCGCTAAGGATGGAAAAGATGCTCTCCAGAGAGGCAGCACTCTGTGACTACGGCTCTGCCATGTAAGGTGTGAGCTATTCGTATTGTAGATGATAAGCTTCCGAATATCGATGCCTTCAGTTGATCTGGTTTGTTTTCGAAGAGTGATGGTTGAAAGGAACAGAAAAGGCCACTAGGAGCATAGCCGATAGATAAAACGGTCACATGGATCTGATGAGGCATACAAAAAATTTCTTATCAGACCCACGTGACTCTGTTATCTACCGGTGCCACCCGTCACGTTAATTAGACATATCATATTAAATTTACTGGTATGGCTTCACGGGTTGTAAGTACTTTGGAATTCTAATTTCTAATCAGTGAAGCCGTGTTAGAAACTTCAATAATAATCTATTATATTGGTGGCGATGCTATTGAGGCAGTAGAATCTATGGGGGAAAGTAGCGCTACGAGATACAGGGGAATAAGATCGTGTAGAGGCAAGGTTTGAAGGACTACGAAAATATTGTATTACGAACAATTAGTCATGTTTAATGACAAACACTTTCTCAGTCAGGAAAAATACAAGTTATCAACTGATACCTGGCCTGCAGGTGACCCAGGCCGGGCTGTCGCTGAAAAATCCTGGGTCTGTCCGGCGGTAGCCAAAGCCAGAGGGGACTGGTCGCTTGGATTCACTGAAGATATGTCATTGTGATGAAGAGGTTAAACGAGCAAATTAGGAAACTTGAGCGATGCCTCATGATCTTTATGAGTGAAAGACAGAGGTTGGGGGTACTCGGTAGCTTCCTGTAGTGTTGGTCTCCCACAAGGACACCCGGGACGCATACTATCGCCAGTTTTCATTTTTGAGTGCAGTACAGTACTAATGGCTACTCTAGTTCACGCAATCCAATTTAAAAGTGTTACCCCAAGGCTATTTCCAGAACCGAGAGTAAATAGACACCGATTTTCTCGCTTTTATCATGGCCATGCAGAGCCAGACTGATTTTCTGGTATTTTTGACCACGGCCGAAAAGAATCCGAGGGTGTTAGTGTGTGACTCAGAATTCTGGCTTAGGTTTAATGAGAGAGTTTTGATTGGTTTTATTTACTGTAGGCGGTTCGTGGTGTACTCGAGTAGTTGGTTCTACATCACCTTGTGGGGGGGAAAAAAAAAAAGACTTCCCCCCACTGAAACCCAACTCGGTAAATTTTCACAAGGGCCGGCCTTATCCCGATTTCAGCCACTGTGTTTATTCCGCCTCCTAGCTCCAAGATGTCCAAATGGTGGCCCACCCCCCCGCCCGTACTGACGGAACTGCGGTCAGAGACCGCCTTCTACTTAAAGGACAATAACGCCTCCTACTCAAGCAAATGCCCCGCAGATCCTCAGGGTCAGAGACGTCTATTGGCCGGGTCACCATCAGAGGACCTCAGCAATTCCCCTTCAAGTAGAGTCGCACCCCGTTGTCCCGGACGACCAAAATTCCAAGAATCCGTCCGGGACAGCGAGTTATCCGGGACAACAGGTTTGGTTTTGGCATAAAGAAATTCATCCGGGACAACGGGGTGCGACTGTAAAGCATTCCTCCGGCTTTTGAGCTAAAATTCCGTGAACCTCGGCATACAAACGATGGGATCTTCAACAAGGGGAAGGTGAAGCATATCAACTAGCTAGGTCAGCGTTCTATAAGTGAACCTACCCCTTCAATAGATGATACACGAATTAAGCAGGGTGATCAATTGAAAAGAAGAGAAAGTGGGAGGAAAATCAATTAAATAGAATTGCCCATTCCATCGCTGCTTGATTGCCTAGCGTACCAAATAAATTCCCGTAGCACCGTATCCTATGCGCCAATTGATGAGGAAAAAAAGAAAAAAAGTCTATCAACGCCATTGCCTACCAATCAACCCCGAGGCGATGGAAAGAGTCACATCTATATCATACCAATCAGTCACCAAACTTTTCAAATAAATGGACTCCACTGCAGTTACCTATGCCAAAGCCTACTTCTTGGTAATAATCGAACCCGCCTTTCAAGACAAACCCAACAAGAGTAGTAATAACACCGTAGAATATACGGTCAAGCCCACCACCGGTCTTATCAAATTTTTTGTCCGTCTTGTTGTTAAGGTCTTTAATATCAGCTCTCATCTCGCTCTGTCCAGATTGAATGTGGTCGAGCTTCAGTTTGATGTTGGAAACATCCTAAGAAATCTCAGCACAATATCCCGTATCAGAACTCTAGTTGCCGAGCGCACCTTATCGAGTTGGGCAAAGTCTTTCCAGGTGACGCCTAGAGGAGACCCCGAGCCCGCACACCCACCGCTGCTATCATGGTGGTGATCGTTTTCATGATGACTATCACTATCGGTGTTTCGTCTCTACGACACCCAGTTAGTGTGCAGTTTGTATGCTATCGAAACCCCGATCTTACCGGAACGGTGCTGAAGCCCTACTCGTGCCAAGGTTGTGACTAAGCGTCACAACCCCTGGTTGCTCGCTTGCTCGCAACCTGGGCACTCTCAAGAGAGTGCCTGCCAGCTCAACATGACTTACCAGCTCAACATAACTTGTGGCTCAACACAGCTTTTTAGTGGCTTAACACAGCTTTTGTGTGGCTCAACACAACTTTTCTGTGGCTCTACACAACCTTTTAGTGGCTCAACACCACATTTTATCACTTGAAATAAATTTCTTATAACTTAATCTTACTTTATAAGTCCACTGTATAAAATATTCTAGTTTACATGTATTTTTCAACCTTACTTGTTTCCTAATATCAACAATTATGAGCTTTAATATTTTTTTTTATACGTTAAAATAGTTTGCCTACTATTCTTTATATATAAACTTATTTAAAGTTCTATTAAGCTTCAAAGTAATATTAAACTATAAGGCTATATTCAGCTGCCTGGTTACCTTATACTATAATGTTATATTAAACTCTAAAATTATATTTATCTAGTAGTCACAGTATTTAGTTATTTGGAACAGCAAAGTTATTTATAATTATAAATTTTCTTAGTAGTACTTTAAAGTTATATGAAGTTATGAAAAGTAATATTAAGCCACAAAAAAGTTGTGTTGAGCCACACAAAAGCTGTGTTGAGCCACTAAAAAGTTGTGTTGAGCCACAAGTCATGTTGAGCTGGTAAGTCATGTT